CACAGCACGACAGACAGATGAGTGGTGGTTGCGTGGTTGCTGTTAAATAGGAATTTACTTGTGCTAGGGCCCTTAAGTCCGGCTCAAAGGTGGGATTTCTATCCTGGGATGTCAATCAAGAGGCGGAAGCGCAGCAGGGGCCACTGGGTTGTAATGAGACACTTTGGGCTGCGCTTGTGGGTCTCTAAGTTGGTCGACCCCGCCTCAAAGCCAGGATCCAAAAGGTTAGGCTAGGATGGCGCTCAGGGTTAAGTAGGACAGCCTGGCCGGCCCCTGCAGTGTCTTCCTGCTAGGCAGCGTCTCCCCATCGACCGGGTCTCCAGACACCTCTCACCCCACCGCTCCGTGGTCTGGGTTTTATTTAACACCTCCACCAGGTCTGCGCAGTTCTCACACATCGTTTAACCGCCGCCCTCCATGATAGTAGCCCTCGTGCCTTCTTAGAGGGGAGCTTATCCTGAAGGAACTTGATTGCTTGCCTTGATGGCTTCTTGGCAAACAGCTTGCTTATTCTTGTAGTAGCCAGTCATGCTGACATTTTTGTTTGGGGTTTTTCCTGATGATCTTTCTTTGAAGATGTATCTTCAGTTGTTCTAGCTGTTCCAGGCTGGTCTGCTTGTCCTTGCTAGTGGGAATGTCTGACCTCAGAAGGTTCTGGATGGGACTCAGGATTCTACCTAAGGTCCTATACTCTGCAAAGGCTTTGCAAAAGGCCTATTTCACTGGGCAAGTTCTAGAACCCCTTGTAGGTATTCCAATCAGTTATGGGCTGAAGACATTCCTTTCTATCCCACTCAAGTGTCTATTTTACAATAGTAGGCAAGGGAAACCAATATTCATAAGACAGTCAATTATTTTAGTATTATTTCCCCTCTTCAAACTATGCCTAGATCCCTGTATCACAGAGCCCTGTTTTTCCAAGGTTGAGCATGCATCACTATTTACCTCTGTCCCACTTAGCCCATACAAACCTATCTCAGTGTTCCCCTATCTATCTTGTTCTTCTACCCCCTACCCCTTCTATTATTGCCCTCCCCAACACCCGAACTAAACCCCCCACCCCAACCTTACTGTTGTCGTCACCTTATATTCCATTAATTCTTCCCTCCATTTAAGACAGACTATTTTATCCTGTAATCTGCCTGCCCTTACCACCTGGATCTCTGTTCCTCTGTGTTTACCTACTTTCACATTGTAATTGATTTTATAATAAACTGACCTCCCAGATCCTCTGTTCTTGACTCTTCCATTTGTCTATTGAGTTCAGGGTGATGCTGCCACATTCATCATTCTCTAGTTGTTGTCTGTTTTTGTTGGTTTCTCAGTCCACAGAACTTCCTTTAGGATGTTTTTCATAGTAGGGTTGGTTTTGGCAAATCCCTTAGCTTCTGTTTATCCTGGAACGTTTTGATTACACCTTTGTATTTGATTGAGAGCTTTGCTGGGTAGAGGATTCTTGGTTGGCAGTTTGTTTTTTTTTTTCCTTCAGGGTTTTATATATATGTCTCCCCATTGCCTTCTTGCCTGCATGGTTTCTATTGAGAGATCCAAGCTTAATCTGATTTGCTTGCCTTTGTATGTTACACTTCTCTTTTCCCTAGTTGCTTTCAGGATTCTGTCCTTATCTTTGATTTTGGAAAACTTGATTATTATATGTCTTGGTGATTTTCTTTTTGGGTCTGTCCTTGCTGGGGTTCATTGAGCTTCTTGAATGCTTATCTTTTCTTAGGGGAATTTTGTTTCAGCATCTCTTCAACTCTTTCCTCTGTGGACTTGTGTGATTCTTCCTGTTTTGGAATGCTGATAATTCTTAAGTTAATCCTCTTCATGTTGTCCAACATGAATCTTAGGCCTTCAGATTTTTTAAATCCTTTTTCTTGCTTGCTCTTCTATCTTAGTAGAGTTGAGAGATTTATCTTCTAGCTCACTAGTTCTGGCTTCTATCTCCTATTCTGCTCCTTTGCTCTTTCAGTGTATTGTCCATTTCGGACACTCTATCATTAATCATTTGGTCCTCTTTCTGTAGGTTTTGAATTGTTTCCAGTGCTGTATCTGTCTTATTTGATTGTTCTATAGTGCTTTCCTGACTTCTTCCTTATTTTTCTCAGCTCCATTGTATAGTGTTTTGATACATTTTATAGTCATTTTTCTGAAATCCTTCTCAGGCATTTCCAAAGCCTGCCCATCTTGCAGTATGGAGTGTAGGTCTAGTTCTAGCTCATTTGCCTCAGTCACTTTATCTCATTTCTGGACATGTGCTGATATGGTCATCTGTTTCTGTTTTTTGGGGGGCATATTCTGGAGTTATGTGTATCCTTAATACTTAAATAAGTGTGTATTTTGATATTTTTTATGCTTTCTGATTGCCTCCAGGTAGATGTGATCAGGAGATGGGTTTCCCTTTTCACTCTTCTTACTGAGAAATTTCAAGATGCCACTGTTGGTAGTTGTGACGTAACTCAGGTTTTAATTTTCAGCCTATTTCCTTTTTTAGTCTGCCTGTCCCACTCCACAGTCCCCGTTCAGGCCTTTATCCAAGTGTAAACAGTTCAGGGCCAGCTGTAGCTGTTGTGCACTGCTGTTTGGTTTTAAATGGAAACTGTCACTTTAAATTTCTAGGAGATCTGTGTGCATGTGTAGTAGAACCTTCAGGGTGTGGGTGTGAGGTGCACACTCGCTTCAGCACCCTCTCTAGTCACCAGAATGGAGGTGTGCAGCCAGCGAGAGACCAATGGACAGATATATATATATAAAAAAAGAGTGTCCACACCTTTATTTCTGCTGTTCTGTGAGGCATCCGTGGCTGCTCTGATCCATTCCCCACTTGGTCTTGCCCAAGATGGTGGCTCTGGGAGCAGCTGATTTTCTTCGATTCAAAAGCAATGGATTTCTTGCTTCTGCTACAAATTCCCCTAGCTGTAAGCCTTCCAACCTTCTAAATACTCCTTTATATGTGGTTCAGAGTTCTGGCACCATCTCCTGAGCCTGTTTTACCCAGTATTCTGTGTTGTTTCTAATGAAGTTCCTCACTGCACATCTACCCAATCCGCTATCTTATTTGGTCTGTAGATACTAGTCTTTTGTCAGATATGATGTGAACAGTTATTTGCTCTCAGTCTGTATCTTGTCTTTTCATCTTCTTCATGGGCTATTTTATTTTATTATTTATTTATTTTAAGTTTTATTGTGAATTATGTGGCAGTTTACATTGGAGAGCATCAGTTTTACATTTATCCTATCGTATATTGTTTCATTGCCATGGCTACAATCCCTTCCACGCATCACCAATCAATAAAAGGGTACATCCTATAAGCCTGCTTCCCTTTCCCCCCTCCCCCTACAGTCGTCAGCATACAGCCCCTCTTCCTCCCTGGGTCCTGAGTCCCCAGCTGCTCCATCTCTCCACGTCATCATCTCTGCCTCCATCTCGGGGATCGCTGCCTCTCTGGGTAGGGTTCTGCTCTTCTCCCTTCATAGTTCCAGGGACCTCCACTCCCAGCCTGCAAAGTCAATCACTCCCCTCCTTGTTCATGGGCTATTTTAAAGAGAACATTAAAAAAAATTTTTTTGAGATCCAATTTACCGACTCTTTTTCTTTTAAGGATCTTGCTTTTGGTATCAAGTCTTAAGAACTTTAAATCCTGAAGATTTTATGCTCTGAGTTTTTTCTAATAGTCTTATCATTTTTATGTTTTGCATTTGAGTTTGTGATTCATTTGAGTTCATTTCTGTATAAATGTTAGGTTTCTTGCTTGTTTGTGGGCTATAAATGCCCAGTTACTCCAGCACGATTTTTTGAGAAGGCTATCCTTCCTCCATTATACTCCTTTTGGACATTTGTCAAAAATCAATTGAACATATTGGTGTGGCCTATTTTGGGGTTCTGTATTCTGTTCCATTGATCAGTGTATCACACCCTCCACCAATACCACACTGTATTCTTGAAACCAGGCAGACTAATTCTTCTCACTTTTTCTTTGTCAAGATTGTTTTAGCTGTTCTAAGGTCTGTGTTTTTCTATATAAATTTTAGAGTAAACTTGTCTACAGCTACAAAAAGCTTACTGGAATTTTCATTGGGATTGTATTGCATATGTAGATATTTGCGGGATAATTGTGATTGTTAGTGTTAAGTCCTCTAATCCAAGAATGCGGTTACCTTCACTTTTATATTGTCATTTACTAGCATTTATTAAGTGCCTACTAAATATCAAACTAAGTTCAGAATAAGTGTAGAGTTCTTTAAGCTTTACTGAGGTAGAGCAGTCATAATAAAACATAATTGTTTATTGGTTTTTATTTCATAGCATGCTGAAGTCAAAGAAATGGAAGAAATCAGCTTTACTGAGGTAGAACAATCATATCATTTTATTGTTTATCCTTTTGTTGTTGTTGTTATGTGCCATCGAGTCGGTTCCGACCCATAGCGACCCTGTATAGGGTTTCCGAGGGTGTAAATCTTTACGGGAGTAGAAAG